GTTTGTGATAGCACAGTCCTTTCGCCTCGACCTGTGCCTCAGACCTGAACTGCTAAAAAAAATTCGAACCATCACAAACGACCTAAAGAACATTGGTCACCACCCCTCCATGAACATTCCTTGTTCTTTGGTGTTTTAAGGCCATAAAACGAGAATTCAGCCCGATTCCCATATTTTTGCATGTTATAGCCCACATCTTCTGCATTGGCCCGTGCCCTCGAATCCGGACCGCCTAAAAATTTTCTGGACCATCAAAAAAAATCTAAGGAACATTTGTCACCGCCCCGCCATAAACGTTCCTCGTTTTTTGGCGCTTTAAGGACATTATACTAGATTTCGGCCTGATTCCCATATTTTAATGTGCTATAGCCCACGCCTTTTGTGTGGGCTCGGGCCCCTAGACCAAGACCTTCTAACAAAAATTCGAACAATCAAAAACTATATAAGGATCATTGGTCACTGTTCCGCCATGATTGTTCCTCGTTTTATGACATTTTAGGGCCATAAAATGAGAATTCAGCCCGATTCCCATATTTTCGAGTGCTATAACTCACGCCTTCCGCGTGGTTCCGGACTGGTACCGCCTAAAAAAAATTGGACCATCAAAAATGACCTATGGAACATTGGTCACCACCCTATGGCAAACCGTTTCTCGTTTTTTTGGCGTTTTAGGAACATAAAATGAGAATTCGATTCGATTCAATTCTCATATTTTCGTGTTCTATAACACACGCCTTCCACGTGAGCCCAGACTATCGGACCCGGACAACCTAAATTTTTTTTGGACCATCAAAAATGGCCTAAGGAACACTGGTCACTGCTCATCCATGACCGTTCCTCGTTTTTTGACGTTTTAGGGTCATAAAATGAGAATTCGCCCTGATTCTAATATTTTTGTTTGTTAAAGGACATGCCTTCTGTGTGGGCCTGAACTGCCTAAAATTTTCCCTGGTCATCAAAAACGACCTAAGAACATTGGTCACTGCCCCGCCATGATCGTCTCTTTTTTGTCGTTTTAGGGCCATAAAATGGGAATTCAACCCAATTTCCATATTTTCGTGTGTTATAGCTGATGCCTTCCGTGTGGACCCGGGTCCCCGGATCTCCTAAAAAATTTCGAACCATGAAAAATGACCTAAGAAACGTTGTTCACGGTCCCGCCATGATCGTTCCTTATTTTTGGCATTTTAGGGCCATAAACAAGAATTCGGCTCGATTCTCATATTTTCGTGTGTTATAGCCCATGCCTTCCGCATGGGCCGGACTGCCTAAATTTTTTTCGGACTATCAAAAATGACCTACGGAACAAAAGTCACAGCCCATACATGATCTTTCCTCGTTTTTTGGTATTTTAGGGCCATAAACTAGAATTACGCCTGATTCCCAAATTTTCATGTGCTATAGCCCACGCCTTTCACGTGGGTCTGAACCGCCTAAAGTTTTTTCGGACCATAAAAAAAGAAGTAAGGAACATTAGTCACCGCCCCGCCATGGCCATTCCTCGTTTTTTGGCGTCTAGGGCCATAAAATGAGAATTTGGCCTAATTCCCAGATTTTAGTGTGCTATAGCCCACGCCTTCCATGTGAGACTACTTTTTTTCTGTGTGAGTTTCGGAAATATCCCCGTTCATAGGTCCGAGATCTACATCTATGAATTGAAAGGTCCGAATGATCAACTCTGCAATCAGTTGTTAGAATCAATAGGTCTTCAAATTGTTCATTTGAAAAAATTGAAACTCTTCTTATTGGACGATCATGATACTTCCCAAAAATCGAAATTCTTGATCAATGGAGGAACAATATCATCTCATACAGCTCCTCGTTCAATTCTTTCGAATTCATTGGATCCTTTCTGCGTTCGAGAATCCCCCCTTCTTCCACTCCGCCCCGAAGAGTAACTAGGACCAATTTAGTCACATTTTCATGTTCCAATGGAACACTGTAAATTTTGATTATTCTCAAAGGATAAGATTATTCTTGGGCGCCCGGACCTGGACAGCCTGAAAAATTTTTGGACCATAAAAAATGATCTAAGGACTCTTAGTCAACTCCTCGCCATAAAAGTTCCATTCAGGTTCTACAACATATGGCAAAACACACTCAATTCAAACAATTAGGGGAAGCTGGATAGGCTAGAAATAAAGCAACAGAGAAAATGAAAAATGTATGGCTTAAAATGAAGGATCTTAAAGCAGATCTTAAAAAATTGAACTTTGAGGAGTTTAGAGGGATATCCGAGAAGATTACTCATGCCAGAGAAGCTTTAAAGGACATACAAGGGAGGATGCACAATCACTATTCAAATAGCCTAGCTGAATAGAGAGGGACTTCTTGCAACAACTTGAAAAGTGGTCTATGATTGAAGAAAGTTCTTTGCAACAAAAATATAGAGCTAACTGGATAAAGCTTGGGGACTCATATTAAATACTTCTCAATTGTGATGAAAGATAGGCAGCAGACCAAGCAAATACTCTCTGTAACGGATGAACCTAGTGAGCATGGGAGATATCAAAAAAGAAATACTCCGTCCGTTCTAGTTTATGTGAACCTATTTCCTTTTTTATCCGTTCCAAAAAGAATGAACCCTTTCTAAATTTGGAAACAATTTAGCTTAAACTTACAATTCTACCCTTAATGAGAAGCTTTTATAACCACATAAATTCTCTGAGCCGCTTTTTAACTTGCTTAGGATCACAAATTCCAAAAGTCTTTATTTTTTCTTAAACTTCGTGCCCAGTCAAACAGGTTCACATAAATTGAAACGGATGGAGTATTGGCTCAGCTACTGTACAATTGCCAACAGTATATAGAGTAGTCATGAAGACTGGGCCCTGTCTGACACACTCACAACAAGTAGCATTATGTGCTAATGTAACAGATGAGGAAGTTTATGAGGGGTTATGCTCGATAGGAGATGACAAGGCACCAAGAATAGATGGATTCAATGTTGTGGTTTTCAAGAAGTCATAGAATATAATGAAGCTGGAAGTATGTGAAACAGTTATAGACTTCTTCATCACAGGGAGACTCTATCAGGCAATTAATTGCACCACTCTTACCCTAGTACCAAAGATACCTAACCCAGCAACAGTGAAAGACTACAGGCCCATAGTATGTTGCACTGTTCTATATAAGCTTATTTCTAAAGTGATGTTGCTAGATTACAGAAAATGATGAATTGCATTATATCTGATGCTCAGGCAGGATTCATTCCAAAGAGGAGGATAGCAGATAACATAATTTTGGCTCATGAACTAGTCAAATCTTACAGCAAGAAGCACATTTCTCCCAGGTGTATGATAAATGTTGACATACAAAAAGCGTAAGACTCTGTGGAATGGGTGTACTTATAACAAATCATGGAAGGATTGGGATTCCCTGAAAAATTTATTGGATGAGTAAAGACTTGTGTCAAGACAATTAATTACTCTATTGTGCTTAATGGGGAATCTATGGAACCCTTTAATGCAGCTAGAGGCCTGAAGCAAGGGGATCCAATATCCTCTTTTCTCTTTGCTATTGCTATGGTATACTTGAGTAGCCTGCTTAATGGATTGAAGGAGAAAGGTTATAAATTTCACCCAAAATGTGGGAAGCTAGGCATTACTCACCTAGTTTTGCTGATGACCTGTTGTTATTTGCCAGAGGGGACAAAAACTCCATTCAAAAATTGCAAGCTTGTTTTGTATCTTTCTTAGAAGCATAAGGGATGAAGGCTAATATGGCTAGGAGTGCAGTGTATTGTGGAGGCATCAACACTAAGGAGAATAATGAAATAATACAGCCGCTGGGCAACAGTCTAGGAGAAATGGATTTTAAATATCTAGGAGTTCCACTCGACACAAAGAAGTTGACTGTGGTGCAATTGAAGCCGCTTATTGGGAGAATAGTGTCTAAGATTACATCTTGGACTGTAAAAAAACTGTCATATGTCGGAAGAATTCAACTGGTGCAATCAGTGATTTTTGGCATGCAATTAAATTGGTTCCAAATCTTCACATTACCAGTTAAAGTCACAAAACTAATAGAAGCTTATTCCAGTGCTATATGTGGCCAGGGAGGAATGAGATCACTAGGAAAGCATTAGTTGCCTGGGAGAAGATATGTCAACCTAAAGCAGCAAGTAGACTCAATCTACACAACCTACAGATATGGAATAAGACAGCAATTACAAAGACATTGGGATCTACGCCAGAAACAAGATAAGCTATGGATAAAGTGGATACATGCGTATTACATTAAAGGGCAAAATGTAGATAGCATTGGCATACTACAAAGTGCAAGTTGGATGGTAAGGAAAATTCTAGGAGCCACGGAGATTGTTACACAACTGAGCAAACCTTTAACTGGGCAGGAAAGTGTGATCAAACAGATTTACTTACAAATGATACCACCTTATCCAAAGATACATTGGAGAAGGCTGATGTACCAAAACATTGCTGAACCAAAAGCCATATTTACGATGTGGATTCACAATCTATGGAAGGATGCTAACTGTGGACAGATTGCTAAAGTGGGAGCTCAATGTTAGCCCCATCTGTGTGTTTTGTCGAGTGGAGAATGAGACAAGAGACCATCTCTTTGTGGAGTGTGGATATGCACAACTGTAGGGGTGATTGTTTTTATGGCTATAGATACAACCTGCTACACTCCACACTTGGTGCAATTTATACAGTGGATCATCAAACAAACGAAAGGCAAATCAAAGCAGGCACGAGGGCTAAAAATGCTATATAAAGAAGCTATCTATGCCTTATGGAGGGAGAGAAACAACAGGGTATTTGAAGGGAGTGCACAAGCCTATGAAAGTGTAGCACGTGAGATTGTATGTGTATGCAACCAAAGAGCTGAAGGGATTGTGAAGGGGTGGTTACAGCAGCTTCACTTTTAAACATGTAAATATTTAGAACAGAGGCGTAGATAGCAAGATGTATAGGAAGTAGGGAATATTTGTTTACTGCTCTTTTTGATTTGGCTAACCTGCATTTAAGCTTAGCTAATGCGCTGTAATGTCTTTCACTGGTGATTAATGAAAAAATTTAGTTACCAAAAAACAATATATGAGTGACAGAAAAATGTAAATGTTCCACCCTTTGTTTTCTAGCATACAATTCTCGTACACACATGATGACTTTGAGAGGATAAACGCTCTGACTAGCAGAGCGCTGCTCAGAGTGCTGCCTTTTCTCTTGAACTCATGACTTCTTTCATATAGCTTCCCTGCCACTAGCAAGAAGAGCTTCTGCTGCCGAATCCAAATCATGAGGAAAGAAAACCCTGAAGACAATAATGGTCAAGCGAAGGAACTCAAATCTTCACGAGTGACAGAAAAACATAATTTTGCCCAAAAAATGGCATAGGCATGGAACTACAAGCAGAAAATTCCCAGGCTGTCTCCCTGCAGGAATGAATAATTTCTGAGATGCCTAAGGGTTTGGGTTAGCGTGATAAATCCTTAGAATTTGTTTTAATCAGCTAAAAAGAACCATAATTTTGACATTCTATTGGAGTATAAGAAAGCATTACTCAGCCCCAGAAAATAAGAAGAATGAGAATACCCTGAAAGTTATTTTGTCTTCAGAAATGAAAAAGAACCATCATTTCCCATATCTTTCTGTATAAGAAGATCATCTACTTTCTTGCAATACGAGTATAGAGATGTGACAAAGAGAAGACGTTATAATCACCTGCAAGTATTGTGGTACAGTGTCTTGCCCAGTTGGTCTATGTTAGTGATGCCTTTAGTGCCTGCAACAACTTCAAGCACTTGCCTGGAAGAAGGGAGCTGATATTATTCAATAAATCAAGATTAAACTCGAGATACGGAGAATCATATGCAGCTAGAAGCTCTACTACATTGCCAACTGCCAAGGCATAAAATAGGGGTAAATATCCCACAACAGAAAGAACATTATATAAGTAATTCCTTTGATACCCCCACTCAGAAGCATTCGGAGAGAATTAGAAGAACACAGAATAAAAGTAAAAGGGGTTAAGATATTCAAAGACATTGGGTTTTTTCTCTTTTTCTATTTTCCTTTTATTCTTTTTGCTTCTTTTTTTTTATTCTTGGTGGAGAGTGGCACTTGCCAATTTGAAGTTCAGTGGTATGTGTAGCAATGATAGTTCTTCTAGCTTCTCTGTTTCCTCCAAGTTTGCATCCTTTGCCAACTGTAAAGTTACTTTTTCCTATGAAAAAATAAGTATTGCAAGTAATCGATAACATATAAAAATGTATTTAATGGAGAAAGGAAGGGTACAAAACACTGGTATCCTGTAAAGAAAATCAAATTGAATAATATAAGGAATAAGGATGTTGTAGCTTTCATTTTCAATCAGTTTCAATCTCATGACCACTGTTTGAAATGATGTCTATTTAAAGACAAAATGGGAAAAAAAATCATATCACTAAGCAAGAAGAATGCTATGACACTTACCGAACTAAGCAAGGCTCATTGCGACCTTTGACAAGGCATTCTTGATCATGCCTCTCCTTTTTCTTTGAAGGCCACGAGGATTTCACAAAATGTATCCCAGCATGTGAATTCTTGATATCACAGTATGGTGAATCCGTTTCAATCATCATTCGCTCAACTGGTATACCCTTTACGACTTCAAGGTTCTCAGCTGTCTTGAGAGAGCAACCATTTACACCTAATGAGTAGTTCAAACAGAAAGACATGAACAGATATAAGTAAATCAGAGTCTAGCAATCTCAAATATCTGATGGAAAACACATGAACATGACAGCTTCTAAATTACAATATTGAACATAACAGACTGGAGATTTCACCTATAAAAACATTACTAAATGAAAGAAGTTTATCACGATCTTCAGCACTTCCAGTGAAAGAGTGCGCAACACCAGCAACAAACCTGTTCAACACAAGGGGTTTATCAGAACACCATATATAAAACTGCAATTATGAATGCAAAGCATTACACTAACCATGATAATGTTGCCTAATGTCACTTAATTAAACAAAAGTCGGATACTGCCTCAATTCCATAAGACAGATATTCACAAAAACAGCCTTTTAAGTTACGTCAGTATTCAATAGCAAATCTCGGCATAAGCTGGCCCCATAAAATTTTCTGACATGGAAGGTAAGGCTGTCTACATCTGCTTTTTCCTGAACCTGCTTAGGCAGGAGCCTTCTAGCATTAGGGCATGGCTTCATCCCAAAAGGACTGAGATATAAGAGTCAAACATAGTGGTAAAATCATGTGGTTTATTACTTTATTTATTTTTTCCACTTTTAAGCTGGCCTATGGATAATCTAACCACTACATACTATAAGAAGTTCTTAGAAAAAATTAACTTGATCTTTCCAGTATTCTCATACTGATGGGGATTACATAGTGAAAATTAGAAACAAGCCAATTCGTGCTATCTCCTACAAGTACAAAATTTTTACCGATCCTTATTTCGTTCAAGAATGTCGCANACACAGTGAAAATTAGAAACAAGCCAATCCGTGCTATCTCCTACAAGTACAAAAATTTTACCGATCCTTATTTCGCTCAAGAATGTCGCGAAAATCCTGAGCAGCTGCTCGCATGTGAAGAAACATTGGCAGTTTCATTCTATATGCTAACTCAAACTGCTTCTCAAAGTACCTATATTTCAAAACATTGAAAGAGAAAGCAAGACCACATCAGCAAAGTGGAAACAAGGCAAGCCTACAGAACTATAGTCACCAAAAGGTTCCCTCTAGATCCTGGTGCACCTAGACTACCAGTGGAAGAACAAGAAGTAATTCCTCCGGAGAAACGGTACATGAGTAAATGTCACCAGAAAGAGGGTTTGGTGGCAGGGGGGATTGGGCCTCTTGCTTTTGTTTGGGGGGTGTGAGGGAGGGAGGGNGGGGGGGGGGAGTGCGTGTTCATGCGGGCCAATTAAGGATGAAGGAAGAACTCATAGGGGCGGGTTATGTGAAGCAGATACATACTTCTTTTGAGTATCAGATGGACAAAAGTGAAGTCTATCATAGTCCAGCCCACATTCACCAATCGCAACCACCTTGTTTGAAATGAATTTTGTCGTCAGCAAAGTAAATAAATAAAAATATACTAGCATTATTTATTTCAACTTTTACGCACCAGGGAGACAAGTCAGAATTGAAATAGCTCCAAACTTGCTAGCCAATAAATATAAAGATTCATTCAGAAGTGTATTTTCACGAGGGAAAAGGAATGAATCACATGATGAGCGACCGAGCTATTATCAGAATGCAGATCATATACAAATGTGCATCTTATAAGCAAATCTTTGTCTAAAAAACTACTTACACCTTCACTATTTGATCAGCTTCTACACTAGCACAATATTAGGAAGTTAAAGAAAGTTGATCTCCAAATGTGTTAGGCCCTTATGAGATTATCCAATTCTTTAATTTCTTGAAGCTCTTCTTGGGGCAAAATCTTTTCCTTCTGTGATTTGCAGGCTACTAAAACCTCAAATCAGTTAAAGGATGAGCTTAAATTGATCAAAATTTCACATCTTAAAGTGTGCAAATGATTCAGTATTATTTTGGTTATACTAATGTCGTTTACGGAGAAAATCCTTGTTGAAAAGTTTGGAGCAAATAACAACATGACCAGTTAACCAGGAGTTTAAGCTGCTCAGAGTTCACACATTAGAAAGTATAATATTAAAGCTTGGCAAAATTTGCTAAATTGAAAGAGCATTTACTAAGGTGTAAATTGAATGAATCCATAACCTTATATATAACGAAATTTAACGTACTTTTCCTTTTTCTATTCCCTCTTTAGCCAATGTCAAAAGATCCTGCAAATGCTTTTCTGGATCCCCACTATCTTCAAATTCCTGCTTGAGCACAGAAGAAGAAAATGATAAATGCATCCAACATACATGAACGGGTAGGCCATTAGATAATATCAAGAGTCAAACCCACTTTGCATCTTGTCGGGTGCACACCCACAGTACAGAAAAGTCTTGCTGCAAAAAGAGTTAGTTCTCAAGGTCAAACGTGCCCATACATTTGAGAAGCCAATTCGCTGAAAACAAACACTAGGAAGAGTAAACTGGCTGAATAAGGGACATATGGACAACCATCTGTTTCCGCAATTGCAAGAGCTTCTTTTGATTCTTCAAGAGAGCCACCAGTTACCTGGAAGAAACATTTAAAGCGAAAAAATACTCTTAGAGCTGGGAACATTTCTTTAATCAATAAAATAAAAGATTTTTCTCAATAAATTTCTCCAGCAACAACAAAAACAAACCTAGTGAAATCCCATAAGTGGGGTCTGGGGAGGGTGTGTGTATGTAGACCTTACCTCTAACTGGGAGGTAGAGAGGTTGTTTCCGAGAGACCCTCGACTCAAGAAAAGATATAAAGAAGCATTAACAATAATAAGATACTAAGAAATCGAAGCGAAAGATAGTAAGAAAACAGTAGGTAATAATAGCAATATCAGACTAAGGAAGATACCAGACGAACACTAATACTACTGGTATGGAAAAAAAACGTTCGATTACATACTAACCTTCTACCCTAATTCTCGACCTCCACACCTTCCTATCAAGATTCATGTACTCGGTAAGCTGAAGCAGCGGCATGTCCTGCCTAATCACCTCTCCCCAATACTTCTTTGGCCTACCTCTACCTATCTTCGTACCCACCAAGGCCAGCATCTCACACCTCCTAACTGGGGCATCTGTGCTTCTCCTCTTCACATGTCCGAACCATCTTAGTCTCTCTTCCCGTATCTTGTCCTCCATGGGGACCACTCCCACCTTTTCCAAAATATGTTCATTCCTAATCTTATCTAGCATGGTATGCCTGCACATCCATCTCAACATCCTCATTTCAGCTACTTTCATTATCTAAAGAGTTCTTGACTGGCCAACACTCTGTCTCATACAACATAGTTGGTCTAACCACCATTCTGTAGAACTTATCTTTCAGTTTTAGTGGTACATTATTATCACACAAAAGACCAGACTCGAGCCTCCATTTCATCCACCCCATTCCGATACGATGTGAAAAATCCTCATCAATTTCCTTGGATTACTGAGATCTGTCTCCAAACCTCCAGCCTCTCATTAGCATAGTCTCGCGTCTCATCAATCAGGATTATGTCATCTGCAAATAACATATACCATGGTACATTCCCTTGAATGTGGCACGTCAGTGCGTCCATAGCCAAAGCAAATAAAAACAGACTAAGAGTTGATCCTTGATGCAACCTCATCACAACCGAAACTCCTCCCACTGTCCTTACCCGAGTCTTATCTCTATCATACATGTCCTTAATTACCCTAGTGTAGGCTACAGACACACCTCTAACCTCCAAACATCTCCATAGAATATCTCTAGAGATTGTCGTATGTTTTTTCTAGGTCAATGAATAATATATGCAATTCCTTCTTCCTCTCCCTATACTGCTCGGCCAATCTCCTTACAAGGTGAATGGTTTCTGTATTGCATGAATTTGAGCTAGTTCTCGGAAATATACACACCCCGCCTCACTCTCACTTCTACCACCCTCTCCTAAACTTTCATAGTATGGCTTAGCAATTGATACCCCTATAGTTGTTGATGTTTCGGATATCACTCTTGTTCTTGTACAACGGAATCATCGTACTCCATCTCCATTCTTCGGGCATCTTCTTCGTCCTAAAAATGTCATTAAACAACTCAGTGACCCATTCCAAGCCTTCCCTACCCACATTCTTCAAGAATTCCATCGAGATTTCGTCTGGCCCAATCGCTCTTCCCTGCTCATCTTATGCATAGCCCCTCGACCTCCTCAACTTTTATGCGCCTACAATTTCCAAAATCTTAATGACTCTCGGAGTGCTCAAAATCACCCAGCATAATGTTCATATCCCCCTCTTCAGTCAAGAGTTTATGGATGTATCTCTGCCATCTTCGTCTAATATGTGCCTCCTCTATCAAAACTCTGTCTTCCTCGTCTTTGATGAAGCTAATACAAATTTACCATTTGATGTCGGATTATAAAAAAGAGAACATGATGTTAATTAAAAGGAAAGAAATATACTCCCTCCGTTTCAATTTATGTGAACCCATTTGACTGGTCACGAAGTTTAAGAAAAAAAAAGACTTTTGAACTTGTAGTGTAAAATGAGGCACATATAGTTTGTGTGGCTATAAATCATTGCACAAAGGCAAATTGTTTCCAAACAAGGAAAGGGGTCATTCTTTTTTGCACGGGCTAAAAAGGAAATAGGTTCACATAAATTGAAACAGAAGGAGTAGTTTTTTTTTTTATCATTCTGTCTACATCCAACATATCCACAAGATGAGTGTTGCAGAAATGTCAATGTTGTATGGATGTGCGATAATGCAAGATTAGACAAAATTAGAATGATCACATTTTGTAGAAAGGTGTAGGTAGCACATGGAGGATAAAATGAATGAGAGTCACTTCAGATAGTTTGATCATGTCTTATGTCGCCCTTCAGACACACTAATCTGCAAGTGTAAAACCATGGTGTTCAAAGGTGTTAAAAAGGGACAAGATAGGTCTAAAATCACATGAAGGTAATTATATCAAAAGACCTACAATATGCCGGAATCCATGCAAACTTAGCACAAAATATGTCACATGTGGATGAAAAAGACCCATATAGGTGATACCAATTAATTGAGATTACGGTTTAGTTTTCTAGGAATATTTTAGTCTTGTTAGAGATTTGTATGCCAATAGAAAACTTAAAGAATTTCTATTGCTAGAGAACCTATATCTTCAAATATTTGATTGATACGGGTCTAAATGGAGCAACATGGTTAATGAAGATTCATACAAATTATCCCAACTAGTTGCGGATTGAGGCATAATTGTTGTTGTAGAACAAGTCCAGTAAGTAATCTTCCTCGCTAATGTTGAAAAAAGAGATTTCTAGTACTAGTATAAGCTTATTGGAGAAAATGCTTTAATACTCAAATCTCCATATGAACAACAATTAGGTTTATTAGGACTTGGTGTTAATCATTTGGACAAAAAGTTAAATGAGAGATATTACTGCTGATATATTCCTCTAACTACATCAGTGCAAAGTCAATGACTGAAGTAACAAAACTAAAAGAAAAATGGATGCCAAAGGTCGAGAACATAAATACCAACAAATTACATGTTAAGTTAAACATCCTCCTATTTTCTCTTTTCCTAGTGGCACTAAACTAAGAAACATGATTTTACAATTAAATATTCCATCTTTTAGTACACTTTTAAGTGGTGAATCATTTGGGTTTTCACACATCAGAATTGTTAGACAAATTTTAAATTAGGAGCGTTAAACTTGATGTGCAATTACTGAAGCAATCCAAAAAAAAAAAAAAAACTTGGTAAAAGAATTGTAGAAAAAACTCCACATTCTTTATAGCAACAATATTCAAACAAATCCAATCAATAATCATAACATGAATTTGGAAATGCAAAACAGTAACATGTAAATAACAAAGAGAAATTGGGAAGGATTTACAATTATGCGATCAACTCCAGCGCTCCATGCCCTCTTCAGCACAGCTTGAATGTCCCCCATATGATATTGCTTCCCATTGTATATCCCTTTGAACATGCTATCTGAATTTGTGGAGTTTTCTTAGAATTAAGACAAAGAAAACAAAAACTTGACTGCATCTTGGAAATATGTGGCAGCTGACTCACCAGTAAAATTTACGGCTATGTCTGCTCAAAAAAAATCTAGTTAGATAAGGAGAGTATATTGATTACGACAAATTGACGCTAAAAAGAGATGCAGTACATCACCTATCATTCGTACCGTCGCCATGGCAGCTGAAGATGCTTTGGTCGGAAAAATACTTGCTTTTTATATTATTTCTAACAAGTTTCGGCTCTCTGAAATTGCGATTATAGCACATTAGCCCAATGTTTTATTGTTTGTTACAACTTGAATGCATAGTCGAATTCTTGGGCCTTCCTCGCGATCGGGCTAGCTTCTCCTTGAGTTGAGCATACTAGTATGTAAGGGGATTTACCCCTATAATCATTTTTCGTGCTTCTGTTTAAAAGATAGCCACCTTTCCCAAGTATTTAAAACTTAGTCAAAATATAAGCCATCACACAGAGACTACTTTTCGGGCTGACCATTGTAGGGTATGACTGGCTGACAGATCCATGTCAACGAAGATTAGAAGCAGCGGTCCAAGAGTTTTAGAAGAACTCGGTCTCTACTACTTGTTGCACCTCCTTTCCGGGTGATTGTGGAAAGAAAGGAGTTTTTTCAATTAAAATAACATTATTCGAAAAGAAATTAATTTTATTTTTTACGGAGTCGTCACTTGGAATTATTTAATTTTGATATTTCAAGTCACCATTTCATTTAAACCCTAATCAAAGAAAGTTTTGACTTCAAATTATGGTCCGGGAAACACAGAAGACCGGGTAAGAAATTCTGTTAACCTGGAAGGGTGTAAGGCACTCCTGAGTTCCGTGGTTCTAGCACAATATTAATTCAGATATCTTACATGTTTTAAGAATTTGATGTACATTTCCATTTTTACCGCTCTTAATTACTTGGTTATCACAATTATGAAATTATCTTGAAACGAATTACGTGTGTATTCGTTTTTTTTTTGGTATATCAAAATCATGTCACGCGTACGTGTACACAATTAATAACAACTTATAATTATTAAGATTGTTCTGCCCAATGTTGCGGGAATGCGTACCTTGGTTTTAATTTTGAAAATTGTAATTATATCACGCGAACATATATATAATCACGATAAATTTAATTAATTAAGAGCGTGCCTAAAAGCATACTAACGTATTCATGATTTGTTTTGTTACAACCCATATCCACATGTGTTAGTTCATGCCATATATTAGTTAACATAAATCCAAGAAGGAATTATCTGTGAGATGATAAGAAGTCAATCATATTGGTCTTAAAGGATACAAGAGTGTATAAGGGTGATTAACCAGTATTAGAAGTTAAACGAATCAAGGATGTTGTAACTCGTATTTTCAGGTAATCTAGCGGTGCTTAATACACTCAAGCGGTCATTTATTAAGGTATTTTAATCATATAATATCCGTATCATAAGTCTTGAAGTCAAACGAGTTATGAAACAAAAGTCGACAAAAGTTGTCGCAACTTAGGTTCATAATTTTACTTAAACATTAGGTCAAATGTTTCTAATCTTTTCTCATAATTTACAAGGAATTACGGGGTGATCTACTAACCAAATTAACGATCTATGAGTCTAGTTTCCAATGCATTAAACCGTTCATCGATACGATCTCAGAGTAGAGAGATATTCACGTTTTCGCGAGACTGC